ACTTACACCGTGAGTACGGGTGCCACCCCCCACACCCGCCTTCAGTGTCAACTCGCTACCCCATCCCTGTGATTGGTCCTCACCGCCCTGTAAATAGCACTGTCGCTATATACATGTTTCATGTTTGCCCTTGTTGTGTAGAACCCATTGTTTTCTTCAGACCGGGTTGCCTCCAATTTGAGGTATGCCGTTGTATTTCCATTAATTCATGATTGACTATGCTACAGTACACATAGATTTTCCAGCCCTGTGTTCTGCCGCGGATCCGTGGTTCGGTATTTGCGAGTCGCTCTATCATCGGATGTCAATACAGTACAGAAACTGTAACGTGACGTTATAGATGATTTTCACAAGGCCGTACGGTATGAGAGCCGATTTCAGACAGAGCCGGATGTCCCATCATCTGACGTAGCCGAAGTGATGAAAAGTTTCGTAAAAGGAAAGTTGTAATCCCATCCTAGGATTATTAGAATTCGATAGTTGTTATGATATATGTTTCATTCACATAACCCAGATCATTTGTCTGAGGACACTCGGGTTGAAGGCAATGAATATGCACCTCAGCCAAGGCCAAAGAAGCTCACGCTTCTACCTTGCGATGAAAGTAGTAAGACCACACCTAATCCATCTGCATCTTTTACATCCAACTTATCCAGCTGTGAATGCCAATCAGTTCAGTTCAGTTCAGATCAAGGTCCATAACTTTTGGGCGAGATGTCAAGTCGTCTATTTTCTTGCTCTGGTGGGCTCTTGGATCCCCAGTGCTTAGAATTTACGACAACAAATCCTTCAGGGAACAGCAGATTCTCTGGTGTTGTTTCTGCGTCCAGCTCATATCACAGACTTGTACGTGTCAAAACTCAAAAAGTAAGTTACCGGTGACTTTTAAAAGGAAAACCCCTAATTCAGTCACCTTAATGGAAATTCTCTGTAATGCTCTTCATTCCTCGTTAAAAATGTTATTCCGTGTTCTGTCAAGCTTCAGCTTGAACTGCGTTACCTGGTCGGCTTTCACTACTTCCCTCGGCAGATTTTTTCGCTCATTCCCAACACTTACTGAAAATAATTGACTTCTGATCCCTAGTTTGTCTTTCTTTTTTCAGCCTCCTTTTGTCCTCTGAGGTTTAAACTGCTCTTTATCCTAAGAATGG